CCTAAATCCTCAACCCTAAACCCAGGCTTTGGCGGAGTCTGGCTCCAGCTACCCGGTCCTGGTGCCCAGGCGTTGCACATCATCGAAGCGGACCTGGAGCTACTTGCTGGCCTTTATAGGGTTGGATATAGGGATAATGGAAAAGAACATGGAAACTACTATAGTATATTGGGTATATATAGGGATAATGGAAAAGAAAATGGAAACTACTATTTAGGATTTGGTGTTGAGGATTTAGGGTTTGGTGTAAATGTTCAGGGCCTTGGGCTTTAGGGGGGAGTGGATCCCTGGAGAAGTCCTGAGCTAAGCCCATATAGTCGTACCTGTATACTATCCCCTTAATCCCTTCCAACCCGAAACCCTCAATGATAGATAATTTACTAGCTTCCATGTTCTTTTGCATCTGGTTCTTCCCTACAAACCGCCCGCAAGGCTGCGGCGTCCCCACGTTCCGGAGGCTGGGGCCCCACCGCCGCTGACTGACTCGTGGCTACTCTCCGGTCTGCCGGAGAGGCACAATCGGGGTTACACAGGGTTTAGGATTTCGAGTCTACTATTTCAGCAGTAGGATCATCATGATCAAGATTACCATTCTTGGTACTGTTCTTATGATTACAATAAGTCGTTTGTACTGTTACCATTATTTTTACTTCAACAGTATCATTTGTCCTTACTGTGATTACGAAGTTTGTTTAACTCTGGGTTTTATTCGTGGGCGCCTTGCTTGCTACTAACATTGCTATATCATATCTGTGTGTGCTATGGTTCCTCTTGCTTCTGTAATGTTACTGTTGTTTACGTTGACTACTACTTGTGCCATTCGTGCTTAGTTGCCATGCTCATCCTTCTGTTTCCTTGATTCTGCTTTATGATTATACTTCACAATGCAATGCTCATTTTTATATCTGTTCAGTCAGGCACATCCGGAGGAGTCACCACATCGCCCTCACTGTGCCGGACATTGAAGTGGCGAGAAGCATTTTGCAGGCGCATGGCCTGAAATTTGCGGAAGCGCCGGTACCTGGAAAGCCTATTACGCAGCTCTTCGTGTACGATCCTGATGGCAATGGCGTGGAAATCGGCAACTTTGATGCGCGTAGCTAGCTGAGCCACCACAGGGCTCGGCACAATTGTACAGTTGCAGTGCCTTGAAGAGGCACTACTTTTGAGGCCCTGGATTAGAAAGTGCTTGTAGCGCACGTTGGGCGTACAGCACGAAGGCTGCCTCATTGACACGGCGCTTTGCTCGGACCTTCCTTCGCAGCTTGACCTGATTTTGCCAAAGAGAAAGCAAGAATCACCCAGAACACACGTCTTCCCTCGTAACATTCAAGTTAATATTCAGAACTTCCCCCCAGAACACCTTGTATTTTAAACAGATCCGCACAAGGCCCACCCTGGTCTTTCAAGTAGCAAGAAAAGCTCAGGCCCCGGAGCACGTTTCACTGGAAGGGAGCGCAAGGCCGTTGCCCAGGGGATGGGACATCTGCTGGGGTTGGATACAGGAGTAATTAGGTCTTACTGCAATGCAGTGTTTTTCTGTACCCAAAGTCTGATGGTTTTATACTCTTTGTGAACCCTAAACCCTAAACCTAACCCAGCCCTGCGTCATAAACGCACCTCCTTGTACTACCCTTGAGTACTGCAGCCCGAGAATGTTGTTGCAAAGGTTTGCGAATCTGGGGCGGGGGCAGGGGATAAATCATTGGGGAGGCAAACCCCTAAACCCTAAACCCCTAAACCCTAAACACTAAACGACTCAGGGGTTGATCAGAAAGTATGGATAAGGATGTTTCTCACAAGTATCCCTGTAGAATCCTTAGTAGGGGTAATGGACTACAACCCCCCACATGCCCATGGAGTCTGCAGTAGGAACTCATAGAGTCTCCTTGGAACCCACAGATATTCTCTTGGTTTCCCAGCACTTAGAAACAAAGAGTTGACTGGGTTTAGAGTAGGGTTTAGGGTTTAGGGTTGCAACTGTAGAGACAAGTTGATGCAAGCTGCGCTGTTGAAGCTTCGGCGTAGGGTTGAGGTTTTTGAGGACTACGCTGAACTCCTGCACTTCTTTCTGGCCAGGACCCCGTGAAGGCGCCAGCACTGTCAATACCTCTGCTCAATGGAGATCGCAAAAATTCCGATGGCGTGTGCTTTCGTAGGTTCCAAAGAGTGGATTGTCAGATGCTGCTGCACGCATCGGCCAACATGAGTGGAGTTCTAGCTTCTGGAGAGTGGATCTGGGTATTTCCGAAAATCCTGATACATCATCCCTACATGGGACCGGCATAGTTCTTTGTAGAATGCTTACATCTCACGATGATATTTGGGTACCTTCACGAAGTTTTAAAAAAAACTCGCATCTGCGTGACGCGCCGGCTCTTCCTTTCTTGCTCAGGCCGCCGCCCTCCTGTTTGTCAGTGGGTTTCTGCTCGGACATAAACCCCTGCAAGCTGCGAATATGCTACAGCATCAACAGGAAAATCCGAGCGAACTGGAGCAGGCTACAGAAACTTCGGACAGGAGAAGAATCGTGGACATCTCAAGCCACGACGTAGTACAGGTGCCGTAGTACCCCCACAGGTGACGAGCTTTTCAGACCAAAATCTGTTGGATTGTTCTGCACATGATGTACTGTACTTCACCTACAGATATGCCTTTCAGCGCCCTTACACACTCCAAGGCATGCTATTGGTAAGGGGCCCGGCATGCAACTTTTTCGAACAAAAAGCCACAACAAATCCCTAAGAAGTCTCCAGCGCCCCACCTCTTCCAGGACCCCCATACATAGGCTCGAGACTAGGAGGTAGGATATGCATGGAGCCTTCGACGCCTTGCACAATGTGCTGTCTCGGCTTGACCCAAAGAAGTCCAACTTGATCGCTACTAGCCGCTCCTGGATCATTGTTTGGAAAAAGTTTGGGGTTTAGGGATTCAGAGTTTATACAATTACTTAGGGTTTTGGGGGCAGATGTTCGATAGTGGGATATTGACATTTTGAGATTGAGGACATGGGACCCCAAGTTATTGTACTCTATATGGTCTTGAGTCTTTAGGGTTTAGGATGTAGGGTGTAGGGTTAGGATGGGACAGAGCACGCACGTGCACTTCTGAAGCTACTAGGCTACTAAACTTTGGTGAGAGATCAAAAGTGGCAAATCTTAAGCCCGTGCTCCGGGAAGACTGAACCCATAACAGCCAAGCACCGGATTTCTGTGATTTTTCTTGCCATGCTCAAGATTTTGGTCTTTGTTTTGCGGTCGTAAGCCCAACACCCTAAACCGTTAAACGCAAAACCCAAAACCCTAAACTGAGCTTGATCCGCCTGTTTGGGTGCAAGAGGGGGACCCAAAACCCTAAACCCCCAAGACCCTTCAGGCTTACGGGACCTTCTGTGCCGGGTGCTGCCGGGCCAGGTCGAGGACGGAATTCCTTTGGAGGCATCACATGAGCTATAGTCTAAACTCCTAGTATCCCGCTTAATAACCCCCATAGTATAGGGTTTAGGGTTTAGGGAGTAGGATTTAGGGTTTAGGGTGTAGGATTTAGGGTTTAGGATTTAGGGTTTGGGGTCTAAACTCCTAGTATCCCGCTTGATAATGGAGAATCAAGTGGAAAAGAACATGGAAAATGAAATGAAAGTATCCGCCTTAATAATCCCGAAAATAGCCTCCAATACAATCCCTCATATGACCGCCTTCAAGGAGTTTAGACTAATATGTGTATGTATATATATATATAGCTCATGTTTCTTGCTATACTTATAATCTCAGAAGAGGTCAAGCAGCTTCTAATCTGAATGAATATTATTTCTGCTACCATGGCTGCTGCTGCTCCTACTACTTCTATTACCAGTACTGCTCTACTACTTCTCCTGCTCTTTCTCCGACCTGGGCCTCAAAAGTCGGTAAAATACTGGGGCAAAAACTTCAAAACCGTAAAAAAGGCCATGGGGCTCCAGGGACTACTACTCTTACTCTCCTCCGCCTCGTCGTCATCCTCCTCTATCTCCTCTCACGGCTCCCTTGGATCCCGGTAGTTTCCCTTATCCCCAAGGCAGGGTTTAGGGTTTTGGGTCTTTCCTGACATTTCCATTTTCCCTAAACCTACAAATCCTAAACCCTAAACCCCATAAATCCTAAACCCTAAACCCTGAACCCCATAAATCCTAAACCCTAAACCCTCCAAGGATTCCAGTTTTTCCCCTACCCTTTGGACAGTCCAAGTGTGAGGACTGGGAGCTTCTGCTCCAGGACTTCGCTGTCGGCCAAGACACGGACTACCCGGCCGGCGTCAGGGTTTAGGGTTTCAGGGTTTGGGTTTGGGGTATTCGGTTTAAGGAGTTTGGGAGTTTGGGGTTCAGTTCAGGCATTTTGGGATTTGGAGAGTGGCGGCTTGTGGATTCGGGCTTGGGGACGTATTGTAGGGATTTCAGGATTGGGGGGTTAGAGCAGCCGCTGGCATCATGGCCTAGCTGTAACTCTGTACATCTACACCAACTGAGCTTCAACCCACTGATTGCTGGGCATGCCAAACTGTAGCTAATGGTAAAACCGAGACTTTTTGCAGTGCCGCCCTTTTCGGAAGGCCTTCACATGCCGGGAGCGATCGTCGTGTGTTCACATGGATGACTGCCAATCTCCCTCGTATTCCTTGTGCACTTATGCAATCATTAGCCCAACCCCATTCCCGCTTAGATTATGGACCCCTTACCCTACAAAACTAGAGTGGAGCCATACCTAGACATGCAACCTAACGGGAAGAGGGAGGTGAGGGAGCTCAGGGTGGGGGAGCTGACCATGCTCACAGCTGAAGGATTTTTGGACATGCCAACTATAGCAGGGTGTATTTACTACATTAAAGTGGAAGACAGACTGACATCTCCATTTCAATTATTTCGAGGAGGGGTGATGGCATGTCCCTGAGGCTGAATTCTGCAGAAAACGTCTATTTCGGGCCCCTACAGTCCATAACTACCGTAGTAACCTACTTGAGGAAGGGGCTTGGAGAAAAAGAAAGACGGTGACGGCAGCGGCAGTCCTTATGACAATCACGACCTTGGTTGGTACTGTTGTTGTGACCGAGATTGGACCTTGCATGAACCCCAAACCCTGAACCCCAACCGCATCTACTGACTGTTAGTATCATGCACATCTCTAAGCCTGAGCCCTAGCTCCTTGACCCTAAGTCTAAAACCCCCACCCACCCGAAAAGCAACACTCCCACCCCCCGCCCAAATTGCTAAAACATGTTCTTGTAGTTTCCACGTTCTTCTCCAACTCCCTATGTCTCCGCAGTATAAGCCTGTATAACCCTGTACAACCTCTATAAAACCCGATATAACCTTTGCATAATCCTATACGTCACTTTAGAACCTTTACATAACCTTATGTAACCGCAAACCCTAAACCCTAAAGCCTAAAAACCAAATCCTAAATCCTAAACC